TGCTTCTATAGATTTAATAAGAACTGGTTTATCAGGATTATCGTCAGAAGTGTATTTAAGTATTTGTTCAAGTAGTAAAACGTATTTTTGTAGACGTGGTGTAGGCCTTTGTACAAAGTGACGAAAGTCTAATCTACGAGTCTGTGGATCTCTTGAACATCTCTAACAATAATTATAATAAATTTTAATTTTATATTAATTGGTTTAATTTAAATAAATTACCACTTACCTCTAGAAATTCTTTGAAGTTATGATTTTTTAATTTTTCATTTTTGACAAGATAATCGGCAAAAGGAAAATTTTCGTTATATTTGATATAATGATGACCAAATTGTTGAGCACACTCCAAGAAAATATCACCAATTTTTTCAATCACATGACTTTGTTGTTGTCTGGTTTTTAGGAGGTGAAGCATTTTTTTGTTATCGGTCAATATGCCATCAAAAACATTGCAAAATATCCCTTTGATGAATTCTTCGAGTCTTTCTGGTGGTATAATGGGTGGTGTGGCATTTCGAAGTTGTTTAACATATACCTAGAAAAAGAGAGGGAAAGTAGGAAAATCATAAATCATACATAATAATTAATTAATTAATTCATTAACTGATTCACTCCATTTTTTTAACTAACAGTTTCCAAAATAATCAAATCATTAATATAATCTTCTTCGGTATAAATAGTTTCAAAAATAATTTCTTGTCGTTTTAATTCATTTCTAGAAATTTTATCCAGTATTTCCTTAGGAGCTGAATTCATCCATGAAAATTTTGGTAATAGAGTATTATCCTATATATATATATTTATTATTTATTTATTTATTTATTTATTTATTTGATTAAGAAAATTAAAAACCATAATGATGAAAATAATTTACAAAATCTGGTATTGACTTTCTCCCTATATCGTTATTATTGATCGATGGAGGTTGAGGATTCTAAAAAATTTCAAAAATCAATATAATTATTATTACTACGAAAAATATTAAAATCGCCTACCTGATTATGAACATAATTTTTACAAGTTGTAGAATAACAACCTTTACTGTCATCACTAACAATGCCACTATAAATATTACACAAAGGACTATAACAATTTGTTGAGACTGTGGGAAAAACACCATTAGGAAATTCATCAACATCATCAACATCATCAACACCGTCCAATAATAATGAATCTCGATTAAAAAGAAACGAGTATACATCTTTATCAGAATCGTGTATTACAACAAAATTGTTGTAGGAGGAAAAGGCAAGGTTAACTGATTGAAAAAACATTTGTGATTCTAACGACCTTGCCATTTGTAATGCAACATGTCTTGGCGTATTTTTTGGTAATAAAGAATGGATTGTGCCCTATATAATTAATATAAATGCGTATTGATGTAAGCATACATACATACATATGTGTGTATGTGTTTAATCGATTTAATTAATAATTACCACGGCATCTGAACCAGTAAAAGTATTGGAATAGTCGATAAACCCTTTAGTGTGAACATCTAACTTCTGGTTTTTTCTAAATTTAATTGCAATGTAAGATAACAAAGCAGGATTGTTTGTATTTATTATTGATTTAGATGATGGCACTGAAATTTTTTTTGGGAATTGTTAAAACAATATTAATAAGTAGTATATTAATAATTATCACCAATAAATTATCATTTGTATTACCACTATAAGGTTCTAATGGGGAAATTGTTGGATCATTATTATAAGTGTTGTTATTATTATTATTATAATAAGTTTGGTAATCTGTTGCAGCTAATTCCGTGTCAATTAAATTAAGCAATTCATTAATTTCAATATTTGATATTTCAGACATGAGTTTCTTATAATAATGCAAAAAAGATGATTTTTTAAAAAAATAAAAAACACCTGCATTAATATTTGGTTGATAAATATAATGTTATACGCATAAAATGAAATAAACATAAATATATAATTTTCTAAATTCATTGTCCATTAACGGGAAAATACGAAAAAGTATTTATTTTGATCGTGTAACAAAGAAAGGATTAATATTAATATAACCGTCCGTGCTCGTGCCAAATGCCATTCATTGATTAATTTGATTAATGATAATCTTAAATTTTTACATAATTGTTACTTATTTACTTATTACCATAATTATCTTAATTAAAAAATTTAAAAAATTAAATACATAGATTAAATCGAAAATTATTTTTTTTAAAAATAAAACGTTCTAATTAAAATTATTGCGAATAATAATAATCATCAGAAAACGAATACGATGAAATTGGAGACGGCGACGAAGTTGTAGTCATAGTTGTAGTTAAGGGCGTTGATGAATAATAATTATAACATTCGCTATTATAATCATTATTATTATTATTATTATTATTATTATTATTATTATTATTATTATTATTATTATAATCGGTGCTATAATTACAATCGTCAAGATTATAATAATAATAATAATTATTATTAGTAGCAGTGTTAATGGTAATATTATTATTATCATTGCCGATGCTGCTGCTGCTGCTGCTGTTGTTGTGTTTGTAATAGTTATGATCTTGGGATTGATCCGGTTGATTATAATCCACTAATTGACACGCTGTCGTAGCGGTTGTATTATTAATATTATTAATAATAATATTATTATTAAATGTATTGTTAGAAGTTGGCGAATAGCCAGTGTTATTATATCCATCATTGGCATAATAATAATAATAATAATAATAATCATCATCATCATCATTGTTATTGTTATTGCTATTACAACTGTCTTTTTCATTACAACCACCTTCTCGGCCATTATCTGATTTTCCACGTTGCCTTAGCAAAAACAGACGTTTGGCTTGATTGGAAATAGCTCTATACGCGTTTTTTATATGATTTGGCTCACGCCTCCACAATTTGGCGATAATTGGCGAGGCAATAGTCATTGAGACATAATGACCATTTTTGTGAAGTTCGTTTACAAAGGCCTTCCGATAGACCATAAAAGAATTGGGAGATCTAGACGGCATCTTGCCATTCTTTTTACAATTTATCAAGGCCTCTGCTTTGATGTCTGGGGGAAAAGGGATATTGATATTTTCGAATTCTTTAAAAGAAACGGCATTGTTGCCGTTGTCATCATCTCCACTACTATAATGAAGGTCGATGCTTGCAGGATCGTAGGTGGAAGGTGTTGTATTTATAAATTTAACTGATGTTGATGACGATGAAGAAGAAGAACAAGGATTTATAGACATCTTTGGTTTTATATTTTGTTTTTTTTTACAAGTAATATATGATTATTATTATTATTATTATTATTGTCTATATATAACTCTATCTATATATCTAAGTTATTATTAATTATTAATAATATTGTAATTTTTGTTTTTAAATTATTTGTCTTAGGTTCGAAAAAAATAATTTTTTTGATTTTTTTATCCCGAAAAGAAATAAATCCCAGGAGTTTATATAATGAAAGATAATTATGTAATATAATGGATCTATTATAAATAAACACCTTCAACAAAGATTTGGTATGTTAATATAAAAAAGGCAATTGATAAAGCAAAATATACAAATATAAAAAAAACATTTTATTTTTTGGTCCAATAAACATAAAACGCAAAAAAAAAAAATATAAACATAAACAAAATCGATCCATTGTATCATATGCGCTTTTTGAATTAGGAAAAGGGAATTATTATTTTTAGACGTCTTAAAAAATGCATATTTGAGAAATTAATTGGTATTCAGTAGCATTCAATAGAAATAAACAAAAATGTAATTGACTCGAAACAGGGTTTCAATTCTACCAAACAACATTCGCTCCATACAGTTTGTAAAAATAACTTGCAATTCTAATTTTTAAAATGATCAAATGACACAATTTTACCCAACTTTTTCCTTATCTCTTGCGCATTTCTTTATTTCACCAGTGAAATTAGGAAAATATCTTTGTCATGAAAGAGAACAAATCAGAGCTTTGTAAAACTCTAATAATAATAATGACACATAATACATAATATATAATGTCCATCTAATTATATTTATTATATATTGATCTCCAACTAATTTAATAATTGTGTTTATTTGTTTGTTTTCTAGCCCCTTCCCTTCTTTCTCACGCCTTCATATATTTCCTTTTCCTTTTTATTTTTATTTTTTAATTAAATTACAATAAAATTGAATTTTTAAATTAAATTAAATTGCAATAAATTTGAATTTTATTTAATGTATGACAAGAATGGCAAGACATGACAACAACATTCACCATCGTGAATATGAAAATCATTTTATTCTTTTTAATCCTGAATAAGATTATTGCGAGGAAAAAAACATTGTCTCCGGAGCAACATAAAAATCATACTAATACTAAAATACACAATAATTCGTTATTGTTATATCACAACGTAATCTGTAATATTAAAAATATTAATATTAATATTGTAATTGTAATATCACACATAATCTTATAATATCACTTCATATCACATCATAATTCATAATTTTCCGGGATTGTTTATTTTGAACACATAATAACAATATTTGTAATAATAAAAAGAATTAAATTGAATGGTTGTTTTTCATGCATAGATTCTTCCATTTTAAAAAATACATGGTCATTTGGATCATGGTAACTGTCATTCACTACCAATGGAAATAGGATTCTACAAATTTAGAAAAAATTTATTAACTTGTTTATATTATTGTTATTATTTGTGAATCCAAAGAAACCTAACTCGGTGCTTGGTTTGTTTATTGTTATTGATATTAATTACGATGAAATTTTTCCGAAAAAAATAGGGAATCTTTAGTTTATTCATTTATTTTTGCTTTTACTTTATAAACGTTCATCCTTAATAATAATTGTTATAATTATCATCACCAATCTTCTTTGCATTTTTTTTTCTAATAATTTCTTGACAAATATTATTTTTTGTGAAACACAATTATAAAAAATTTTATTTCTTAATATATTATTAAATACAATACTTATAAAATAATAATAAATTACATAAATTACACAATTATTATTTATGTTAAATAATGTATAATTGCCCAAATGCAAAATAAAGTAAAAATCCCTCCACCTATAAACACCCATTTATCTTGAGACATTCTACGCTCAATATACTGAATCACATTACGAGACAATCCGAGTGTATTTGCTGCGTCAAGCATTTTTCTTTGTGCGTTCTATTAATCAACCAACCAACCAACCAGTCAATATGTGTGTTATAATATATATAAAGTCTTTATATTTATTCCTACCTTTAATATATTATTTTGATCGTAAATATTATGAAGCACTTCTCTTCCATGTGCTATATATTCATCGAGTTTTGTTTCTGTATCATTTATAAATTCGTGTTCTCTTAAAGCATGTTGTTCCCTCGTCATATTATTGTTAACATGATTATTGATATTATTTTGGTATGGATGTTCCGGCTAAAATATTTGTCATTATTTATTATTACTCACTTTTAATGTATGTATATATATATTATAACCAATCAAAACAAATATAGATTACCGTATTTGTGTTATGTCTTCTTCCTAATAATTCTGATCTGTTATTTTCTGTAATCTATAAATATATAAAAGATTTATAAATATACAAGTATTAGATAATGATAATAAAATAGATAAATATTTATCGTCCATCATTCGTCATTATTCATCATCACCATTATCGTTTCTTATACCTTATTGGCTTCTCGTTGCTTCAGTCGTTCAAATTGAAAATTCATTTCACTATAATCTTCTCTTAATTTACTTATATTTCTAAAGTATATTAATATATTATTATTGTTGTTGTTATTATTATTTGTATTTATATTTGTATTCATTATATGTATATATAATATCACACACACGCATATATATTTTTAATAATTCATACGCGAATGCTTTGTTTTGTTTCACCAAAATCACTTCTCTTTTAGCTTGTACATCATAATCTTCAATTGTACGTTTTAATGCTGTAAGGCTTGCTGAAATTTGTCCTGTTTCAATAATAAAAAATAACAATTAACAACGATTTATTTAAATGATTTATTTATTTATTTATTTATTTATTTATTTAATGATTTATTATTATTCCACAAATATTAGTAAATATTAATTAAATAATAGGCTATTATTATCACCGATTTATGTTAAAATTACCTTGTAAACCAACTGACACATCTCCACTCTCAAATTTCTCAAGTTCCTGTCGTATACCTTGTTCTTGTTTCAATGCATGTTTATACAAATTATTCATTTTTGTTTTATAAGAAAAGGTGAGTATTGATTTTACAATTATAGAAGTGTATATATATATATAAATAAAATTTTTTGAATATTCGAGTTTAAAGTTTGAAAAAGAAAATTTTCTTATTTATACTATAAAATCAGTGTATGAAATTCAGTGTGCGAAATGTTAGTTTAACCAAATTTGGTAATTATCTGAGAAAATCTGAGGATCATTGCCAAATTTGGTCAGAGAATCGAGAATCACATTCCGCACATTGAATTTTTGTACACTGTAATCTAATACATAACGTACTACAAAAATTTTTTTTTTTCGTAAAATTATGATAATAAATAATTATTTATTATTGATCGATGATGATAATGATTGATAAAACTCAAGAACAACATTATAAAACGCGCCGTCGTATTATAATATCGTTTTGGATAGTTATATTAATAGGTCTTCCGTTTTGGTGGAAGACTACTGAAGTTTATCGTGCTCAATTACCCTTTACTGAAATAGAAGAATGGTCAAAATGGGAGGTTTGCATATAATTTTTTTTTTTAAAAAATTATTTTATCAAATTATTTAATTATTTTTTTTATAATATCAGAAATTTGAGCTTGAATTTCCAATTGATATAAGACTTTATGTTGCTCAAACTAAAGGAAAGAAGGAGGGGACGGAGGATTATTTTAAAGACCTGGCAAATATTGTTGAAAATTCTATCAACAACAAGTCTGTTAATTTTACAAAATATCATAACAAGAACATTAAAAAATCAATAAAATATCCTATTAAAATTCAAATATTGAAATGGGAACATTGGGGAAGTCAAAGTATGATTATTATTAAATAATATAATGAAATGGCAACTGCGAGGACAAAAATTATTTATTATTTATATGTGCTAAAAATTTTTTTTAATGTGTGTGTAGATCCAAATACTATTTTAGATTTAATTGGTAAAAATGGACAATATGATTTTTATATTATGCCTGGTGATAATAATTTATCATCATCAAAAGTTTTAGTAGGAAATCAAAGACAAGCAATTGTTGAGATAAGTCAATGGAATATTGGTGAATTATATTAATTAATATATATATACACACACACATACACATATATATTAATAACTTTTGAACTAATCTATTTATTTTATTTATTTATATTTTAAGATGCCATTGACAAAACAATCTCTGATCTCATAATAAATCTATTTCAGCCTGAGCAGACTGCCATAAAAAAACTTTTAATGGAACAAGAAGTAGTTGCAAAGGTTTGTCAATTATATATGTAAATTATATTCACCATATATATAAAATTAAAATTTACATATATAATTTAACAAATAGGTAGAGTTTGATAATATGAGAACAATGAAATATTCACCATTGTATCAAGTAACATTTAGTTTATTGAATGGAAATCCATCAACTCTGCATGTAGATTGGGATATTGAACAAGCAGTTAATAAATTTTTGAAACCATTTATTAATAAAGTATCGGTTGTCTCGAATTTAACTATTGATTCACAAATTCAACATTATGCGAGATTAACTTTTCAACCATCATCATCATCATCATATGAAAAAGAAATTTCTTTCTTCTCTTTGACTCCTGATCTATTACCGCATTTCATTAATGCTGCTGAATGGAACTTGGGTATTTTATAATTGTTTATAGTAAATTTTTTTTTGGCATTATTATTAATACAATATTTTTATATTGGGGGAAAAAATAGCATCGGCTGTGTCATCTTATCCTACATTAAACTTTATATTATATATTCCTTCTCATGATCAAAGTCCACTTTATATTCTAGATTCAAAAGGTATATATATACATCATAATTATATTACATTCATATTATTACAATCTTGTTTATGTATATTTACCTTTTTTGTAGAGAATATTGTAGGGAATAATGCATTTCTTATTCCTAGATGGGGAGGAGTGATAATCAATAACATTGATGATAGGTCAATTGGAAATAATAATAATCATTTTTTCACTTTTGAAGAATTAAAATCTGTAATGTCTATATTTATAATGCAATTAAGAGGTTTACTTGGTGTACAAGATTTTTGGGGAAAAGCAAGACTTAATTTAGTAGAGTATTTGTATAAATATATATTGTAATATATACTTGATTAATTTATTGATTTATATATATATATATATATATATATCATATTTTTTCTTATGTTTAGGATTCATTAATAAATATAGAATTTACATCACCACCAAACACAGCAATCACAATGTGGGAACTTGATAGTTTGATAAGACGTCGTATAGCAGAAAATATTGATGCAACCATTTCAACATTAAAATCATTGTCACAATTAGTCACAGAAATTCCAAATATGGTTGTACTGGATCATATCCAAACTGAAGTTTTGTTAGCATTAAATAGTTTATCAAAGGTAAACAACGAATTTTTTTTTGTTTTTGTTACTAATTTTTTTCTCTAATACTTACGTGCACACTTGAATTTAGTCATGTGACAGTTTAAAAATGAAACGATATGATGTAGCATTAAAACATGCAAAAGAGGCGATAGAAAGAGCAGAATCAGCATTTTTTGATCCAACAATGGTTTCCATGCTTTATTTTCCTGATGAACATAAATATGCAATTTACATGCCATTATTTGTACCTATATCTGTACCATTATTGATTGCTTCTTATCGAGAAATAAAAGGATTATATCCTTTTTATTAACCCTAATATAAGAACGATTCATAGTTTTTTTATGCAATCTAAGTAACATCTCTTTCCTTATTTTATTTCTCTGGCCAAGGTCATCTTTTAAGCATATCGCTATTTATTTAACAAATAAAACATTTTTTCTGATATTTTGCTTGCATGACAACTTTCTAATTAAAAAAGTTTAGATCATTTTATCACTTTCTATGTAATAAATCATCACTACTTTACAAAACCCCAAATCAAAAAATCTCTACCAATATAAAAAAAAATAAAATTACAATACTTGAGTGAATTTTTTTGTGCATTATTGATTGGACTATTATTTCTTTGGCTTTTACTTTATCAGTGGAACATAAATTGTGAGAAAGTAAAAACCTGTAGTTTATTAGATTATTAATAAAAGCTCAAGTAATAATTAATTTACATAGACTAATTAAACTTTGTATTTATTTATTTCTTAGTCAAGTAGAAGCAATGGTAGACACAATCATGATCAATTAACGACACTTTTATCAATTCTCCTAATCCCATCACTTGGCGTATATTATTAATAATTTTTATATCATTTCATTTTTATTTATTTGATGTGCAGAAATCAACTCACCTTTAACATTTTAGGTCTTAAAGCAAATTAGAGGAACAATTTAGAGCTAATAATATATTTATATGCTTGTTTTTGAACCAATGATCAACTTTGAATATAACAAGAAGAGAGAGTCGGATTTATACACAACTTTGTCAAATAATTTTAAAGATAAGCTTGTCCTCCGTAATTCAAATATCAAAATGTTGCAACAAAACCGTAACGTTGCAACATACCCGCAACTTTACATATCACATAAAAATTATACACAGTGTTGCAACATAATCATGATGCGGTTAGACAAATTTTCTATTTACATTGTCTCACTTTTAAAAACATATTATTATAAAACATTTGATATGGTTGAGCATCTTTAAAAAATGACAACATAGCTTCTATGCGGAAGAGTATCAATACCATCAATATGATGATGATGACAATGGTGGTGTTGTTGATGATAATTTTACATGCGAACTAATAAACATTTCCGATACAAGGTCCAATAGTTCATTGGCTTCAAGTTCCATTGTTTTAATCGGTGATTCCAGAAGACCTTTAAAAAAACAAATCGTAATGCATGATTTTGTGTGGAAGTATTTTGAAAAAATGAAAAATTCAAATGGAAATGAATTTGTAATTTGTAAATTTAGTCAACTAAAATAGTTGACTAAAAAAAGTCGACCAAATAATCAACTAATAGTCGACTAAAGAAATTTTGACCAGCTAATAGTTGACTAAGGATTTTTTTGGACGATTCTAACCTTTATAACCATCTTGGTAATGGACATCACCAAGTTACGTGTGAAATTTTCCATGAATTTTTTTATACCATAAAAATCGTTTTTATTTGTAATTGGTCAGACAATAATTATCAATATTAATATTAGCATAGTATTAATATTAGCATTCGTATTAGTAGTCGACTAAGATAGTCGATTATTGTTCAAAAAAGGTTAATTGACTATATTGGTCGATTCCAACCTCTAGATGGTTACCACATGTAAAATATTCTCAGATATCACTATATTTTGGACCGAGTTTGTTTTTTTTATCAGTAACAAAATTCATCTTTAATTATTGTTATAAGAAAATATGAAAAAGAAATGGTTTTAAATGCACAGAAAAGTAAGGATCCTGATATACTTTTTATTTGAATGCAACATTACATACAAATATTACAACATCGCAACACCGTAATACCGTAATTTTACATTACGGGTGCCAACTTTATTTAAAGAAGAATTTAAAATAACCTGTAAAATTAATAAGCCTGATCTCGATATATCAATAGACGAAGAAATTATACCAAATGTTAAATAAAGTACATATCAACAATTTCAAGTATGGTGCAGGTCATCTAAAAACATAAAAAAATTTGTGCAGCTCCAAATCACTAAGGCTTTTTTTTATTAATAAATTGAAAAAAAATTCTCTATTTTTGCAATAAGCAACAATGAGAGTTTTTTTCCAATTTTATTAATAAAAAATCCTTTCCTATTTAGTAAAAGATCATTTAAACACGTGACCAAAACAAAATTACATTATTTACATAAAAAAAAAAAAACAAGGCAAAATAAGTAAACTGCATATTTGGAAAAAAAAAGATAACGAAATAAAATTTTATTTATTCATTTTACTCAAATTATTTGTTTTTATTCATTTTGGGGTCTGTACTAGGAAAATCAAGCTTCCAGCCTTTTTTTTTTTTGTCTTTTTACTCAACAATAATCTCTAATAAAGGATTTACAGTTGGTGAAAAAATTGGACCCTGATTGCATAGTAGAAAAATGAGATACAACAAGGCCTGGAATATTTTCTTTATATATTAAAAACATATGTGTAACCAAATTTACTAAAAATAGATTTTTTGTCTGGAAGCTTGATTTTCCTAGTACAAACCCCATTTATTCAATGATTGGTTTTATTCGGTTATTAGAATTATATTTGCTTTATTCATTTATTTATTTTATTTGAATTATTAGTTTTATTTGTTTATTCATTTTATATATTTGTTTTATTCATTTATTCTTGAATAAACTTTCATGTAATTTGAATACTCTAATGAATACGATAAATGATTGAGTCATGTGATTTTATAATCCCGTGACATCAAAGAATACCATTGCTATTTTGGATTTGAAGATTTGGGCAAAGCATTTGATGTCTTTAAATGGCGCGCACTATATAAACAATGGTGAAGATTTTCTAAACAAATATGGCTAAGGAGTTTGGCTGCGACAAATCGTTATTATCATTAACATTGATAATATGTACTTTAGTCTCGAATATCTCGCCATTATTCATTGCTTTATAATCTTATTCTTTTAAATATCAATATGTTGTTGAACAGTAAGTGTCATATCTGATATATTTAAATTGTAATTTACACATGATTTAATATTAATGGGTCACAAGAAAAGTACAGGGGACAGGCATCAGCCGCAATCTCATGTGCTCTGTCCTTTTCTAGTCTCCCGTTGTAGACCACACACATCTAATAAGCAAAGAATAACGATAAAAATGGTGATAAAACTAACTCGTTTGGCATTAATTCCTGACTCGACATTGATCAAAAAAATTATAGATTGTCACACAAAAACAAATCAAATTAGGATTTTATTACATGACCAATTACACATATCAATTTATAAAGAATTATCACAAGAAGAGAAAGGCAATGATATTGGCAAATTACAATCTTTTGGCACGAGAACTTCAGCTAACCAAACGAAAGGTTATCCTAATTCCTTAAAGCTATTAAAATAGTTATTTGTCATTGTATAATTTTAGGTTTTAAAGTCAGAGCCTATCTAATGTATTTAAAATCCCAGAACTTTATTTCATGATATCATGTCTTTTGAATTTCCAGTGACAATTCAAGATAAAGGAAGCGTAGCTAGTTTAGTTGGTTCACCATTGTTATTAATTCGATTAAAAGTAAGTATATACATTTTTGTTGTTATTTGTGTAAAAAATATTATATATAGTAACATTTAATAAAAAATAAAATAACGATGAATTAGAAGGTTTTTACATATATGGATGAATGTACATATAATATAATGTCATTTTTTTAAAAAAAAACGAGGACTATCTCCTTTTGTAAATTAGTGTGCGTTTTATAGATCGATCTATCGGTTGTTTGACTTCTTTTTATCTTTGAATCAGTAGGAAAGAGTAATGATGATGATGATGATAATCATTTAAGTTGATTGCCTACGTTGCCTAGGAATTACTTCTTTTGGCCAATTATCTCTAAATAAGAAATCGTCAGTTATTTTTTTGGTAGAAAATGGTGAACTTGGACGATTAGAAGATGTTGTGATGGTGTTGGTGCTGGTGATATATAAATGTCCATTATAACTGTTATTAGTGTTGTTGGTATTATTGATGTTATTAGTATTATTGTTGTTGTTGTTTAATTCGACTGGTAACAATTTTGGGCTTGATAGACCAGTGTAAGAAAGATGATCATTGTTAGAAGATGGAGTAGTTGATAACGAGAACATAACTTTTTTGTATAGGTTACGATCGTATGATAAATGACGTGTTTTGTGACTACGACGAGTATTTAGTAATGATGACGATAAATCCGGGGACATAAAGTCAGAAATATCTGCAGGCGTTGATGAATCTAGTGAAAGTGAAAAATAGAGTTGGAAAATTTAATTTTTTTTTGTAAAAAAACAAAACAAAAAAATCTTGTGATTAATAATTAGTTACCATTAGTTTCAATTGGTGTTAATAGTGGGCTTGATAAACCTGTATAAGAATTAAAAGTAGGAATAGCATCATCAAGTGATGGCGAAGGAGTAGCTATAGTATTATTGTATGCTCGCATATACATTTGTCTTTTAAATAAATCATGATCGTATGAGAAACTGCGTACAGGACGTTGAAGTTTTGGCGGTTTATGCTGTGGAGTTGTAACAGTACTGATAGTTTTTGGGGTAGTAGTTGTTTGAATTGAAGTAATTGAATTCATAATATATTTATTGTTTTCAAAAAATTAAAAAATTATGTAAAATATTTCGATTTTATTTTTGATATTTTTCAATTTTATTTTTTAATATTTATATTAAAATTTTAAAAATCATAAATGGAAAATGGAATGACAAATGAAAATCATTAATGTGGAATGAATATCTTAAAAATAATCAGATCAGGCGTAATATATAATCACGCCATTATTTTATGAATATATTTGTGAAATTGTATACAGAACCCAAGTATTATAGAACTTTCTAATCTTGATGCAGTAAAAGATCTTGACCTACAAACAAAAATTTTTTGTTTCAAACTTTAATTGTTTAATAACCTTCATACAAGATAATTAGTAAGGTATAAATGAACAAGGGTCAAATTTTCTCTGGGGGGTTTTTTTTGATAATATCATTTTCAAAATACAAATTTAATAATAAATAATTTT